GCCATGAAGAAGAATGAAATCTTATCATTCGCAAGTAAATGGATGGAACTGGAGAACATTATTCTGAGCGAGGTTACCCAGGCTCAGAAGACCAAAAATCTTATGTTCTCCCTCACATGCGGACATTAGATCAAGGGCAAATGCAGCAATGTGGTTGGACTTGGATCACATGACAAGGGGAGAGCACATACGGGAGATATAGGAATAGGTAGAAAACCCAAAACATGAAAGCGTTTGATGTCCTCACTCCAGAGGAGCTAATGCAGAAACCTTAAAGCGACAGAGGTTATCATGAGAAGAGGATCAGTAACCAATGTAAAGATCAGTTAGAGATGAATCAACTTGGGACGTAACACACTTGTGCACGGAAGCAATGCTAGGAATCTCTCTGTATAGCTAGCCTTAACAACTAGCAAAAACGCTTTGTCTTCCTTATTATTGCTTATGTCTTCTCTTCAACAAAATTAGAGATAAGGGCAGAACAGGTTCTGCCTGGAAGTGAGGGGTGAAGGGGAGGGTAGAGAGAGGGGGAAGGGGGAGAAATGACCCAAATAATGTATGCACATGTGAATAAATGAATAAAAAATAAATTAAAAAAATAAAAAATAAAGACGGGCTGGGGATGTAGCTCAGTGGTACAGTGCTCACCCAGAATGCACAAGACCCTGGGTTCAATCCCTAGCACTGTAAGAAAACAAAACCCAAAAACCTCCTTGTCTTATTTAAGACTTGTCCCACATTCTCTGGCTGCCCCACACCCTAAGCTAACAACCCTGACATGGCAACAACTGAGGGAGGATGCCATCAGGTGACATGAATGGTCAACATCTGCCCAACCACTCTGCCTGTCTGGTTCAATCTCAATAACCCATCCTTGGAAAGAAGAAAGAAAACTGTCCTAGCCCTAAACGTTCTTGTCCCCTTAACTATTACCCCCTCTCTCTCCTCCTCCAATGAACCACCACTGCTTACAGACAAGATCCAAATTCCTGAGGCTGATCTAAAAAGGCCATTCTGATCAGTGCCAGTAACTCTCCCACCCCCATAGGAAGTGACACTCGGTGTCATACGTGCATGCTCATCCCAGGGCCTGCCATGTTCCCTCACACTGCCTTCTCCCTTCCCCTTTCCTGCCAAACCCCTACTTTTTCAGGGTAGGGAAGGCAAGGAGCCTTCATTTAGATTTCATCTATAATTAAATGCATTTAAATTATTATAAATATTAATGCATTTTATTCTAAAAATTATGAAATGTTTGTAACAGAAAATCACAAGTAAGACAAACACAAGCATACTCATTATGCCACTTTTAAAAGATCTTTTTAATGGTGCTATTCCATTTATATCCTGCTATGACACGGTTTTTCTTGCTTTACCTTGTTCTGAACTCTCTCCATGCCAATGCTTGTGGACCTCATTCTAAGAACTACAGAATCCATGACGAATACTCACAATTTATTTATCTAGTCTCCTGCTGTTGAACACTTTGGCTTTTAAATATTTGCTATGACAAGCACCTCTGCTGCAGTGAATGATAGTGATATGCTTCTATAAATCACCTTGGACATGAATTTCTCTAAGAATATAAATCCAGGAGTGGTGCTGCTGATTGTAGGATCTGAGCATCTCAAACTGCTATAACTTGTGTACTACTTACATCTCCACCAGCATTATACAAAGGTCCCATTGTTCTACATCCTTGGCAGACTTACCATCAATGCCTATGGTACTAGCTCAAACCCTCCAATGGCTTTTCACTCAAGCAAAAGCCACATCCACACTGTGACTTACAAGACCCAACATGGTCTGCCCCTCCAAATTGCCTCTCAGACCTTGATCTACCCTTTTGTCCACTCTGGTCCAGTCACACTACTTTCTTTGCTGTCCTTTGAACATGCAGGCAAGCTCCTGCCTCAGGGCCTTTGTACTGGCTGATCCTATTGCATCAAATGTTCTTCTTCCCTGAGGTATCTATATGAATAACTCTGAATTCCTTCAGGCCTTTACTCAAAACTCATCTTTTAACATTTTCTAGCCCAACCACCTACAAATATTTCATGTCCTGCCTCTCTGCCATTAATTTTCACCTTAGCATTTGCAACTAGCAAGCTATACTTTTAATCTTTTTTGGCAGTACTGGAGTTTGAATTCAGGGTCTCATGCTTGCTATGAAGGCACCTTACCACTTAAGCCATGTCTCCAGCCCTTTTTGCTTTAGTTATTTTGGGGATGGGGTCTTGCTTTATGCCCTGGGTGGCCTGGACCATGATTCTCCTATTTATGCTTCCCATGTAGTTAGGATGACAGGCACATGCTAACATGCACAACTTTAGTTGATGGGGTCTTGAGCTTTCTTTTCTTTTCTCTTCTTTTTTTTTGGCTGCACTGGGGTTTGAACTCAGGGTTTCATGCTTGCTAGGCAAGCATTCTTACCACTTGAGCCACTCCACCAGCCATTGAGAACTTTTTTTGGTCTGGCCTTGAACCACGATCCTTCCCACGTCAGCCTCCCAAGTAGCTAGGATTACAGATGTGAGTCACTGTGCCTGGACTTTTTTGTTTATTGTTAAGCTCAGTAGGTCATAAATTGCTTAATGATAGGGATTTTCATCTGGTTTACTCACTGCTTTATCTTCACTGAAGATAAAGTACTTAATGTTTATTGAATTAATTGAGTGACTGAAGACAAGTCATCTGCATGTTTGCTAAAACCTATGGGCATACATGTCTTGTTTTACTTTTTGTTTCCAAGTACAGGTGGGACTAAGTAGCTTCTTATTTTTATTGTCTATTTGTGTTTCCTCTTCTGTGAACTGCCCGTTTTCCCCTCGTTGCTTGCTTAATTCTTACAATTTGTAGGTGTTCGATACACATTCTTGTTTTCCATGTCTTGGGTTTTTTTTGTTTTTGGTGGTAGTGGGGTTTGAACTCAGGGCCTCACACTTGCTAGACAGGCACTCTACCACTTGAGCAACTCCACCAGCCCCGTTTTCCATTTCTTGTTGGTTATCCATCATAAGTATTTCTTCTCATCTGTACTCGAAAGTAAGCAACTTTTTCAACTTTTCTTATGACTTATTTTGCTGTAGAGAGATGTTAATTGTAAACCGAAATGCAATTAATTTATCAATTTTTTTTTGTAGACTCTGCATATTGGCACATCTTGGGACATCTTTTTCCAGATCACGTTCCCCACAAGGGGAAGTCCTTGTGAACCCACCCTCTAAGGCCTAGTCCTTTCTGCCATAAAACACTTTCTGGGAGTAATCCCAGGTACTCCACAGGTGGAGACAGGAGGTTAGAGGTTCAGTCTGAGCAATGTTAGCATGAGACCCTATCTGAAAAACAAACTAAAAGCAGAAAAAAAAAAA